GGTTGACTTTATAGGTACTTCTGGCTCTAGGAATCTGGGGCACCTGGGTTGTGTTGAAACTCTGGTCTGGGCCTGAGTCTTTTCATCAGACTGCACCCCCTGCAATTCTATATTCCTGACCAGTCTCCTCTGAGTGGTCCTACGCTGACTGGGGTACAGATCAGCTGTCCTTGCTGTGCCCCAGTATTTCCCCGGTGGACCCATCTCCCCCACTGCCCGTGCTGCAAACACTTCCCATGGGACAGGCCGTGCGCCGGTCCCTTACAATGACTCACTGGCCTCTGAGTGGCTCCTTTTCTTCAGCTGTGGCTCATTGCTCCTATGTGGGTCCACAGGAACCCTATTAGTGGTCTTGCTGTCCTGGGGGCCACCAAGGCCTTTTTCTCCCCTTCCGCCTCCATGCAACTTCATCTGAAGGGCACAGCTGCGGCTCTGCCAGCTCCTGCTCTGTGGGCTCAGTAGCCCCAGCTTGGAAGCGGCTGGGATTCGAAATGGTGGGAGTGGTCCCTTCTTTCTCTCATCGTGGCTTCTCCTGACTTCATACACTCCAGAGGTCTCTCTTTCTCTTCCCCTGAACTCTAGGGGTTCCAGCTTGGTTGTCGTTGCTTTTTTATAGTTGTAAATTGGTTAATTTGTGGTAGAGAGTGATGCTGGGGACTGTCTATTCTGCCATCTTTTTTTTTTTTTTTTTTTTTCCCTTTTGGTCTTTTCTCGTGACCGGCAATTGGATCGCAACCTTCGGTGTCACGCCCGCACCACGCTCAACCAGTGAGCTGACCGGTCTCTATATGGGATCCGAACCCTCGGCGGGAGCACCGCCACGCTCCCAAGCGCTGCACTCTACCGAGTGCGTCACCGGGCCGGCCCCTATTCTGCCATCTTGACTGGAAACCCCTAATACTACTTCCTTGAAAACCCATTCAATGCACCCACCACCTACCAGAGAACTGTGGTACTAACTCTTTCAGAAACCTTGTGATTGCTTAAACCTTTCAAGACAAACCTGGGTCTGAATCTAACCACTTCAGTTTCTAAGGTAAATGACCCTGGACCAAGTCCCCCAAGTCCCTTAATCTCATCAAGTTCCAGTTTTACAAAGGGGAGAGTACCTCTCTCACCTTTAAGGTGTAAAATACTTAGAAAAACGTACTCACTAGTACTTAACAATATACTGTGATGATACTGAGGTTGTCACGTAATTATCTTTTCATTTTCGTCCCCACTCAAGGCCAGACTCCACTCTTAAATGCTTCCACCACTTTCCAGCACATCCTCAGCTCCCTGGGGCTGCTGAAAGCCTTCTTCAAGTGTGGCTTGAAGAAAACCATACACCAACTACACACAGCGGTACTTACATAAACTCACGTTTTACACACTTCACATGGGCCCTCCACCCCTCCAGTTATCCTTCTGCAAGCCTAGAAGTGTGTTTTTTTGATTTTACATGGTGGCTATTTCAACCCCTTTTCACTGTCTGGAAACTTATCCCAATGGCTTTGTGTTTGTCCTTAGCAGATAACTTTGCCTCTACTCACAGAGAAACTAAAAATTATTTCTTGGTAAATCCTCTCATTTTCTTGCTATCACTCTAAAAACATAACAGCACCATACCCACGCTCCCCCCACCCCCCGTTCTCCTTCCTGACATGATGGCCAACTTACCTACCAGTTCTCTGCTCCTCTGCTCATTCCCGTTCACGCCTGCAGTTTTGGTCTTTCCTTCCTTACATCATTGTTTAAACATGTGGGCACAAACTTTCTCACATTCCCGTCCTATTCTCTCGCTCCCTTTTTTGCAGTTAATCTTCTTGAGAGTTCCCTGTATTTCTTTCACCACTCACCCCTCACTCTGTCCTCAGCCCACTGCAGTCTGACTTCTGCTCCCACTGACGGTGTTTAAACTACATTCATCATTTTCCTTCCTGAACTTGTTCTTACTGTGTTCTCTTGCTCAGGAAACAGGCATCGCGCCATTACCACTGACTCCAGTCAGAAGCGGGGCATTATCTTTGATTTCTGTCTCTCAATCTTTTCATCCAATCAGTCACCAGATACTATTAATTCCCTTCTCATAAATAATCCCTTGGATTCTTCCACTTCCCTCTGTCCCTACTGCCACCGCCTGAGTCCAATCAGCATCATTTCTCCTGTAGTAATGCAACAGCCTCTACAGGTCTCTTTGCCTTTCTTATTGATCTCCTCAAGTAACCTGTCAAATCTCATGACCACCTTATCCTCCTGCTCAGAAACCTTCGCCGGCTCTCTGCTGTTCTCATCACAGCAGAAAAAGCCTTCATAATTTTGCCTATTTCCCCCCCGCCTTGCTAATTCCCCCTTTAAATTTATGCTTAAGCCATAATGAAGAACTTCTAGTTTCTGAATTTGCCATGTATTCTCTTGACTTTGCACACATTATTTTATCTATTTAGCAATCACTGGGTTTAGATAGCACAGGGTTGATAATTCTTAAATATGCATGCTTTTCCTAACTGAGAAATTAAGAAGTACTACCTGTCTGTCTATATTACATCAGTTGAACTATTCTGAGGAATGACAATAAACTTAAAATATTTCTGAGAATTTTTGTCTAAGGATCTCTGATTCTGCATAAGAGTAGGACATTTATTTCTCATTTTAAGGTCAGAAACAAAACCTTCCCATGGCTTCTCACAAAAAAGACACTGTATATAATAAAGAGAATTACATCCTTTACAATTAAAGTAAGTCCAATGAAAAATTTCACAGGCTGTTCCTTATAGCACCTATCTGGTACTGACATTATCAGTCAGTCCGTGGTAAGTACCATCAGCAGCTGTCTGAGCAGCTTGAGCATTTTCCCCCTGAACTATAAATATGCCGATAAATAACTGAATTTTCACAATTTAAATTACTTGCTGCTTTCATCACAATGAAAAACATCAAAACATCTAAATCACAATTTAGGGTAGAAAAATAGATGGTGAGATGGTGATGTTTCTCATCTTCATTTATGGGGGTAAATTTGCCAGGGCCAGAGATTTAGATAAAAACCTCAATATTTTATAACGTAAAATTTGACTTAGAGACTTAAACAAAATTATATTTTTACTGGAGTGCAAAACATTTTTAAATAAATGATTTTTTCTTAGTGTAAAATCCACATTTATTAAGGAATGTTTTGTTCTAGCAATTTATAATTTCTTTTATGTGAATAAAGAATTTAAATTTCTATAATTAATAATGCATGAAACAAAATCTGGAGCTATATAGTAGTTAAATTTGACATCAATGTCTTTTGCTACATATATATTAATTACTGCTTTATAATAACTTTAGGTTTCTTGTAGGTATAATTACATTACGGGCAAACTTTCACAATACTTTATCAGTACTATGGATCCTTCATAAAATTTATACAAGTTCTCAATATCTTGTCTTAAGTGATTATGAAACATTACTGAACTTTCTTTTTTTCCTTTTTGTCTTTTTTCGTGTCCGGCAATGGATCGCAACCCTCAGTGTCGCACCCGTACCGGACCGGGACCAGCAACAGGATCGCAACCCTTGGTGTTGCGCCCACACCTTGCTCAGCCAGTGAGCGGGAACCGGTCTTTATGTGGGATCCGAACCCTCGGCGGGAGCACCACCGCGCTCCCAAGCGGCGCACTGTAGCAGTGCGCCACCGGGCCGGCCCTGAACTTTCAAATTAGAAAAATTGACAATAAAGTTGGAAAGAACTTTGCCATCTGTGATACAAATAAAAATGGTGTCCAGTATTATTTTTTCTGTTGTTTTGATAGCTGGCCAGTATGGGGATCCAAACCCATGACCTCAGTGTTACCAGCAGCATGCTCTCCACTCCCAATTGAGCAAACTCGCCAGCCACAGTTTTCTATTCTAAATTGGATTCTCTGACTTAAAAAGTCCTTCTCTCTGAATTTTAAAGCAGTCAGTTGTTGGGGAAAAAGACAATGAGAATGCTATACTTTTATTTTAGCTTTGAATTTTTTTCTTTAGGTGTTGAACTGGGGAGCCTCTTCGGAGAGACTGAAGATATGCCTTGCTGAAGAAGATATCTTGAGGGAGATAGCTGGTAAAGTGCAGAGAGAGAGAAGCCAGGGATAGCCAGAGAAAGAGAACTTTCTAAAGAGACAGCTCTGCTAGCTGGGAAACAAGCTGGGAGAGCCTTTGAATATAATTTCAGTTGACACGGGTCTGGCACATACCTTTAATGTTTACCAAGTGTCATGCTCTGTCTACTTAAACATATATTATCTCTTTTAATTCTCAGAGCAACCTCAGACTTTTCATGTGAGGGGATAGAATATTAATTATAAATAAAAACAGAAAGAATAAAGATTAAGAAGGAAGATATTTCTGGAATATTCTCTCTCATAAAATCTTTACTCTGTTGCCAGAGTGGCAGGCACATCTGATGAAGTACCCTTCATGTATCATTCTTCAGGGCCTCCCACCATTGAGTTAATTCAGTGAGCTCTGCCTTATGGCATATAAAACCTTCTACGGTTAAGTACAGTTAAGCCTCAAACTCCACTCTCATTACCTTTGCTTACTACTTTATCTACTCTCAACAGCTTATAAGTCCCTTTACAAACCACACATTTTCATGCCTCTGTGATGGTACTTTAAAAAGTTCATGTAAAGATTCATATTACCTTTAAATTCTATTTTTTTCATGAACTTTTTGAAGTACCCTCATATGTCTTTGCTCCTGCTGTTCTCTTTCTCTCAAATGCCTCCTTGCCCAAACCTCTTTTGCCTGTCAGGATTCAGCTTAGGTGCCAGTTCCTCCGGAAAGTCTCCCCTGACCACCTGTTACCAACATTTAATACAGAGCACACTAAGTGATCTTCTGTGCTACCAAAGGGATATACTATATACTATATATCCACAGATAATATTCACTTTTATGGTATGCAGTTCTGGGAGAGAAATACATTCAATTTCTTCATTTCTTACCCATAAAATTTCCCTAAATGAATATAAATGTTTGCATTTACCTTCGAAATTCTTTATAATGAAGTTTTCTTTCTCCTCTTTTTCCAAAGAAATGCATCTGAAGGGTTGTGTTAATTTCAGGTTCTTTCACTGTTGGTTCCTGTAAAAAAAAATTACACAATAATTTCAAGTAATTATAAATAAGAACAAAAATGGAACCTAGTCTAGTTCTATAGACTAGAACTCTTAGGACAATATCCAGAAATGATTCTTATAGGGAAAAAAAAACTAGTTCTATAGACTAGAACTCTTAGGACAATATCCAGAAATGATTCTTATAGGGAAAAAAAGAAGAGAGAGAGAGAGAGAGAGAGAAAGAGAGAAAAGGTGGAAAAGACACACGTAGCCATTCCTTCTGTCTGTTATTTTGCATAATATTATTAGGGAAAAAAAAAAGAGAGAGAGAGAGAGAGAAAGAGAGAAAAGGTGGAAAAGACACACGTAGCCATTCCTTCTGTCTGTTATTTTGCATAATATTATTCTATAATCATCTTTGCTCAAGCAGGAGAAAAACAGTAAGGGCTAAAATAATCAAGGTGGACTTCAGCAGTAAACAAAATCTTAGATTAGGCCTAAAAGGGAGCTTAGAATAGTGAAATAAATGTTACTTCAAAATGTGATCTCTAGGTATTTTCTAATGAAGCAGCACTGTGAGAATTAAAAACAAGAAAGTCTTTGAGCTCTTGCTGAATATTTGAAATACGTGAAAAACACTTGCTTTTCCTAATTTTAAAATTAACAGGTGAGAATTCCATTAAAGGTAATGAGGCAGACTTACAGATTCTTTCTTCTTCAATTCTTTAACAAAACAACAAAAAGAATAACAAGACTTGTACAAAAAATTAGCAGCAGCAACCAAACAAGAAAGGGTACAAATTTAAGCCAAATATTTTGAAAAAGCAGTCAGGGAAAGAAACACTAGATTCCGGAGTGGGATGGTCCATCATGTCTACTACTTCTACCCCAAACTCTACTTCTCAGAAATAGAAACGGGATGTAGGGTTATTGCATTTAGTTCATTAAAGCCTTCAATTTAGTTATAAGTAGATTAATGGGCTGAGAAGACACCCCTGAGACAAATCACGGAAGCCCCACGAGTGGAAACCCCTATTTGGAGTATGGCAGGACTTCAGCAGAGTGAGGAAGGGCTTCAAGGGCTTACAACCTTTCCGAGCACTATGTTACATTGGAGGAATAATGGGCTGTGGTCAAGGACATTTAATGGGATTACAGAGAAAGACCAGAACCTAGGTCCTCCAGCAAGGTCTGCATTTAGCCCAGAGAACTTCCCTCTACAGAATAGTGGATCAAAATGCAGTACCTACAGCTCAAGGGGAAAAAGATAAATTAGTTCCAGATAAGGTGGGAATAAGAGAAGGTCTCGGCAGAGCATGAGGAAAAACAGGGCATGACAATTATGCAAGACACTGAAGCAAGAAATAGAAAAGGAATAAATCAGGCAAAAGGAAGGAAAAACCCAGTCTAGAAGGACATATAACCCAGGGAACAAATGCATACTCCTGAGTCTTTTTTTTTTTTAAACTTTTTTGAGTTAATTATAGATCCACATGCAATTGTATGAAATAATACAAAAAGATCCCCTGTATCCTTTACTCATTTTCCTCCAATAGTAACATCTTGCAAAACTACAGCACATCACAACCCGATATGGTCAACATACAGAACATTTCCTTAACCACAAGGATCCCTCATGTTGCTCTTTTATAGCCACTCCCGCTTCCCTCCTGCTCACACCCCCTCTTAACCTCAGGCAACTATTAATCAATTCTCCATTTCCCTAATTTAGTCATTTCAAAAGTGTAATATAAATGGAATTATAATTACATACTTGTAATTTTTAGTATTGGCATTTTTTTGCTCAGTATAATTCTCTGGAGATTAATACAGGTTGTTGCTGTATCAATAGCTTGCTTCTTTTTATTGCAGAGTGGCATTTCATGGTAGGGGTTACCACAGTTTAAATATTCACCTGTTGACAGATATCTGGGTTGTTTTCAGTTTTTGGCTATTACAAATAAAGCTGCTAAAAACATTCTTGTGTAGGTTTTTGTGTGAACATACTTTTTCATTCCTCTGGGATAGATGCCCAGGAATGCAATTACTGTTTTCTAGAGTGGTGGTATCATTTTACATTTCCACTAGCAATCACTGAATTATCAGTTTCTCTGCATCCTTGCAATCATTTGGTGTTGTCAGCATTTAAAAATTTTAGTCATTTGCATAAGTGTATTGTGATATCTCACTATGGTTTTAACTTGCATTGCCCTAATGACTAATAGTGTTGAGCATCTTTTCATGAGCTTTTTTTTTTTTTGGTTGATGGTGTATCTTTGGAGAAACGTCTACTCAAGTCCTTGGCCCAGTTTTTAACTGGGTTGTTTGTCTTTTTGTTCTTAAGTAGTAAGAGTTCTCTATATACAGTCATGCACTTTATAACGAATTATCACTCAACAACGAACTGCATATATGAAGGTGGTCAGAGCAATAGCCTATACAAGGGCACTTCGAAAAGTTATAGAAAACTAGAACTAAAAGATAATATGAATCTTTCCATGAACTTTTCGAAGACCCCTCGTATATAGCCCAGGTGTATAGTAGGCTATACCATCTAAGTCTGTATAAGTACACTCTATGATGTTCACACAATGAAACTGCCTAATGACATATTTCTCAGAATGTACCCCCGTCATTAAATGATGCTTGACTATGTTCTGATACTAGACCACTGTCAGATTCTGTAGGCTGTCTTTTTATTCTCTCGACAGTGTACTTTGATGAACAAGTTTTTAATTTTGATGAAGGGCAATATATTTATTTCTTATGTTGCTTGTGTTTTTAGTGTCATATCTGAGAAATCATTGCCAAATCCAATGTCATGAAGCTTTTCCCCTATGTATTCTTGTAAGAGTTGTATAGTTTAGCTTTTGTGTTTAGGTCTCTGATACATTTGAGTTAATTTTTTGTATACAGTTTGAGGCAGGAATCCAGCTTCGTTCTTTTGAAAGAAATTAAGAAAAGGAAAATAGTAAATTTGTCAAAGTTTGTTTTGTGTCCTGAGATATGGTTTGCCTTGGTAATATCTTCTACCTTGGTATATATTCCACGGGTACTTGGAAAGAATGTGTCTTCTGTTATTGGGAGGAGTGTTCTATAAATATCAATTAGATCTTGGTTGATAGTACTGTTGAGTTCTTCTACGCCCTTACTGATTTTCTGTTTAGTTGTTCTAACAGCTGTTGAAAGAGAGTGGTTGAAATGTCCAACTGTAATTATGTCTCCTTTCAGTTCTATCAGTTTTAGTATCACATTTTTTTTTTTTTAGCTCTGTTGTTTGCTGTATACATGTTTAGAATGTTGTCTTGGTGGTTTGATGCTTGTATTATTATATTTGCTTTGCTCTGAAGTTAACTTTATATAACATTAGATAGTCACTCCTGTTTTCCTGTGATTAATGTTTGCATGGTACATCTTTTTTCATCTTTTTACTTTCAAGGTTCCTATATCTCTATCTGATGTGAGTTTATTGTAGCATATAGTTGGGTCATCTTTTAATCCACTCTTCCAGTCTGTCTTTTGATGAGTACATTTACACTATTTACATTTAGTGTAATCATTGACATGTTAGGGCTTAAGTCTGCCATTATTTTTTCTGTTGTTTTTTGCTTTTGTTTTCATTGTTTTTTTGCTTCTCTGCTTTTTTCTTCCTTTAGGTTACTTAAACTTTTTTAAAATTTAATTTTGATTTATCTACAGTGTTTTTGAAAGTATATTTTTTGTACAGACTCTTTTGTGGTTGTTCTAAGTATTACATTACATATACATAAGTTAATACAGTCTACTGGTGTTACAATGTTGGAAGTTTGAGTGAAGTACAGAAACTTTACTTTCCTTTAAGTTTCTTTACTTCTCCTGTTTATAATATAATGGTCTTAAATAAACACTTAGAACCATATCAGTCAACGTTATAATTTTTGCTTGAATCTCAAGAGAAGAAAAGTCTATTGTGTTTACCCATATTTTTGCTTAGTGCATTCTTCTTCCTGATGTTCCAAAGTTCTTTCTTTTGTTGTTATCTTTTTGTTTAGAGAATATGTTTAGCTATTTATTTAGGGTAGGTCTGTTGGTGACAAATTCTCTTAAGTTTCCCTCCTCTAACATCTTGATTTCCCCCTCATTCTTGAAGAGAGTTTCACTGTATACTGGATCTGCATTGACAGTTCTTTTCCTTCAGCACTTGAGATCATTGCCACTCTATTTTCCTCCTACAGGTAAGGTGTTGTTTCACTGGTGCTGCTTTCAAGATTCTTTTCCTTTCATTTTCAGAAGTTTGAGTATAATATGTCTTGGTGTCAATTTCTTTAGGGTTAGACTATCTGGGGTTTGCTCAGGTTCTTGAATCTCTAGGTTTACATCTTTTGCCAAATTTGGGAAGTTTTCAGCTATTATTTTGAGTATGTTTTTCAGCACTGCTCTCTTTCTCATTGTATTAGTCCATTTCTGTTGCTTATAACACAAATACCTGAAGCTGGATAATTAATAAAGAAACAATATTTATTTACTTCAGTTATGGAGGATGGGAAGTTCTCAGTCCAGGGAACACATCTGGTGAGAGACTTGGTGGTGGGTAATGACTCTTCACAGCAAAGCAGGGCATCACATGACAGACGGCAGACACAGAGAGTGAGCTAACTCCTCACTTCTCCTCTGAAAGCTCTTAGAACCACACCTGTGGCCACCACTAAACCCTCAATGAATTAATCCATTTACTTGGGCATGGTCCTCAAGTTCAATCATCTTTTCAAGGCCCCACCTTTCAAGTACCATAATAGGATTTCCCACCTCTTAACACTGTCACAGTGGGGGTTAAGTTTCTAACACATGGACTTTGAGGGACATGATTCAATCCACAGCATTCATGCCCTTCTGATACTATGGTGACAAAAACATTAGATCTTTTGTTATAATCCCACAGGTGCCTAAGCCTCTGATCATTTTCCCCCAGTTTTATTTTCTCTCTGTAGAAAATAAAACTGGTAATTACATTGGGTAATTTCTATTGTTCTATCTTCCAGTTCACTG